TAAAAAAACTTCAAAACGGATTGAAAAGAAAGGCAACAAAAGATATTTGCGTTAAACCCAGTAAGTTAATTAATAACGGAATCCGAGGGGAAGGAAATACTTTTAATGTATCCACTACGGATGTTGACCTCATCAGACGAAGCATATACAGGGCAAGAAGAAGTATATTGCCACCTTTGCCAAAGTGTATCAGTGATGTTCAGGGGTGGGAAACTGGTATGCGCAGGTCAAGGATCAATCAACCACGTCCGCGTGGCGCTGCAGTCGGGTGGTGGGGTAGGTGGTGGGAGTGTAAATGACAGGTGAATATTGATTTTGGGGGGGTGTCATGGCGTCTTGGCTTAAACCAAACGTGTTTATTTATATTGGTGACTTGGTTGTGTTCAGTTGTGTTTTCATTTCCAATTTGCTTAATTGATTTAGTTGACCACTGTTAGTGAGCTTGTTTTTCCATTATAAATTTGTGCGTTTTGAACTGTTATCTTGTGCTTTTTCCGCTGTTATTTCGTGCTTTTCCATAAAGATGCGTAATTATAGAAAATGTTGTGTACCGAATTGCCTTGATGTGAACAACAAGATGCATCGCCTGCCCCACCCTAGGAATGAACCCGATTTATTTGAAATTTAGGCACTTGCTGTTCGTTGTCCAAGATTTAATAATAAAACAAAACTACAAATTTATTCCACCTTTGTAGTATGTCATAAACATTTTGAAGAGAAGTATAAAGTAGTTGGCTCTCGTCGAGGTCTAACACCTGAAGCATTTCCAACGCTATTCCTACCAGCAGTTCCTGGAAGAGTAGCGGATGGACTTTCCTCAAATAACGTAGAAATTGAATATGTTGATCAAACACCTTCTACTTCAAGTAAAGGTTCGAAGAAGAAGCAGAAGCAGACTAATAATATATGTTGGACTTCTTTTCGAGAAGGAAAGTTAGTAATCTACTCATTTATTTTATACTTATACTGTGTATTTTCTGTTTCATGACATTTGGGGTTGCAAAGCTGTATCGTAGAAGAAGAAGCAGACTAATAATATATGTTGGACTTCTTTTCGAGAAGGAAAGTTAGTACTTATTTATTTTATACTTATTGCTGTGTTTGAGAATCCACATCAGATGCATTTTTTACATCTCGAGCGTTTTTTTATCCACATACCTATATATAAAACGTTTATTTAGTCAAAAAAACTATTTTTTACATGTCAATACATCTTCACGTTTAAAATATAAAAAATACCTAAATATAGAATCAACATACATTTAAAATGCAATAAAAAATACATAAGATACAGTACACTTACATGTCAACTATACAAAACAATAAAAGAACAAGAAAGAGAAAAAAAACGTCAATAGGTGAACAGGTATTCATGCAGTTTTATTTTAAATATTGCCACATTTGAAGAACATTTAATATCCTCAGGCAAATTATTAAAAGCCTGTACACCTTTAAAAAACACTGAATTTTGTGTACATTTTTCTTGTTACCTGTTTAGGTTCATGAACATCCTGATTATAACTTAAAATATTTTGTAAATATACTCTGGAGATTCCTGATTTAATTTTAAATATAAAAAGCAGGGAATAGAATAGCAAATATTTTTTAACAGTCAACCACTGAAGCACATTCAACATAGAATTGATTGGTTCCAATCTCGAACAGCTCAGTATTATCCTCAGACCTCTATTCTGCAACTTTTGCAATCATTGTGACTCATTCTGGTTGAGCAAATACAGTATAGTGGCACAATAATTAAAATAAGGTAATATTAAGAGTATTATAAATTATTATTTTAGTCCATTTGCCGAGATGTGGAGAACAGCGCCTCAAATAGTTTATTTTAAATCGGACACATCTGTCCCATTACATTTACGTAAATTGAATCACGTGATCAAAGATTTACTACATCTCAGTTGCATCCGATGTGGATTCTTAAACGCTGCATATACTGTGAAATTTGTGTTTCATGACGTTTGGGGTTGCAAAGCTGTATCGTAGATGTTGGACTTATTAAAAAATAAAGTATTCCTCGGACTTATAATTTTTTATTAATACATTTATTTTAATGAGATTGTACTTATACTGTCTTTCTTTTTTCACAGCTAAAGTTCTTCACAAAATGATGGACAGTGTTGTATCCTGGAATATGTAGCAGCCATCCAGCTACTTCATACATAATACAATTTTCATATACATTACATTTTTTAAATATTGGATTTGTATTATATATATTCTTTAATAAATTTATTTTTTGAATATTCTTGTTTTTTTTATCTAAAAACTGTTAGCCAAATTAAGATTTGTTCACACAAACTGCATTTTTGCTTTATTATAGCGATATTCGCTATAATAAAGCAAAAATGCAATTTGTGTGAACAAATCTTAATTTGGCTAACAGTTTTTAATGCGGATAATTTTTACTGTCAAATTTGAATAGCCCCGCGCTTTTCTTCTCTTCTTCTTTTTATTATTTTCTCTTCTTTCATATGGCCTCTTACCAGACAAGGACTTAATTGAAAAAAAATCAACCACGTCCACCAGGTGCCGCTAAAAACTCTATCATCCTTTTTTAACATGGGAGTTACCGTTCTAAGAGTAAGTGTTCTGTGGTGATGTTCATAGTGTACTGAAAGCAATACAATGTGTTACAAATAAGGGTGAACAATTTTTATTATTTAACAATGAAGATTCACAAATTATTTTATTTTCATGTGATTCAAATTTAAAATACTTGTGTTCTCGTGATAGTATTTATTGCGACGGCACATTTAATTATTGCCCTAAATTTTTTTTACAATTTTTCACTATACATGCTGTTGATAACGGACACTACATACCATTGGCATTTTTTGTTTTACCAGATAAAAGAGCAAGTACCTATGCAACTGCATTTAAATTATTAAAAGATTACTGTTATAATAATTTAAATTTAGATTGGAAGCTGGTATTATACAGATTTGGCCTGATATCTTAATTATTGGATGTAGATTTCATTTAACCCAATCGTGGTTACGTAAGATACAAAATCTGGGTTTGATTTCCGAATATAAAAATGAAAATTCTGAAATCGGCAAATGGCTTCATTACACTTTCGGCATTTTATTTTTGGAAAGTACTGAAGTGGCAGAGTGTTTTTGTAAAGATTTAATTCCAATAATGCCATTTGACGAGAGATTAACTTCATATACTCTTTATATGATTAATACGTATACTAGCGATACGTCTGACTTCCCGCCTACAATGTGGGCATCGTGCACAAGTTCCACAGAACGCACAACAAATGCTTGTGAGTCTTTCCACAAACATTTTAATTCTGCTTTTTATTCGGCGCATCCCGATATATTCAAATTTGTTAATGAATTCTCGATATTCAGTTAAATACTTATGTGAAATTAAACAGTACACATATACCTAACAAAATTAAAAACGCTAATTACAAAAAACGGCATGCGTATTTAACGAACGTAATAGAACAATATAAAAATAAGATCCTTTCACGAACTCAATTTATCAAAGTAGTTTCTTATCATTACAAAAACTAATTGCAATTTGGGTTTCTTAAATAATTTTTATTTGGTATTTTGTGTATTTTGTACCTACTTTTTTTTATTATGTATAATTTTATATTGTTTTCTATTAATTATAAGTGTTTTTTTAATTTGGTTTTATTCTTTTCCTGACCCACATTCTGTACCATATCATATCAGTTAAAAATTTCTATTCACGTGGAAAATAATAAAAATCAGTTAAACTATTTTTTTCTTAAAAATATTATTTTCAATAAATCGAAATAGATACCTTTAATGATTGATAACTACGGCGACCAAGAGGCCTACCTGATTTTAAAACTGGAGACCAAGTGGTCGATGAGATTACGGAACCCCGCTGACAAAACTAACCGCGGCGACCAAGTGGCCAACACCCAATTGTAAAAGCCATTAAATGCCAGATGAATTTTTCCCTATAGTAAAATACTTCAACAATATATAAATGTAATTACTAGAGCTGTAAAAGTAACGAGAAAATCAATACCCGTATGTATTCGTTACTTCGGATCTGACTACCCGCATAAAAATATTCGTTACTCGTTACTTTCGTTACTCGTTACTTTCGTTACTCGTTACTTTCGTTACTCGTTACTTTCGTTACTGTGATACGAATCTACAGAACACGCATCGTGTGGACCTCATACACGTCTATGCGGATGCGGAATTGGTGTCGGTAACTAATCGTACGTACGCATTGCTTCGGTTGTTAGGTTTTGGTACTGTCTAACAGAGGGTGTGGATGAAATTAGATATCGAATCGTTGGTTAAATAAATACATAGCGAATTTGTAATTAGTAACAAAGTCGTGTAGTTCACTGAGCATGAGCAATGAGAACTGATGTGAAGTTTTGCAAAATAAAATATCGTCAGACAGGTTGAACAGAAACATATATATTTTTCTAACACACTAGTAGAAACAATAATAATACTCTATAAAATCATAACTTTAATGAACAAAAACACATTAAATTCTTGCAACACGCAACAGAAAAACAACTATTATCTATTCTTTAAAACTGAAATAAATAAATACATAAATATAAACAAAAGTACGTTGCGAACTCTCCGAGTCCCAGTCGACGTACGGTTCGATAGTCGATTCGCATCAAGGCCACACTCGCATTTCGCATCGCCCATCGGGCCATCTCGCATCTTGCACACCGAACCGTGGCGGTATGTATTCTCAAGTATTATTGTGCGTTATGCGACGATGCGGATGCGAGTAACGAAATTTAAACTGCAGTAACGAATTCGTATTTCGTATCTGACCGACTACCCGTTACTGAGTAACGAATACATACGGTTTGCCACAGCTCTAGTAATTACACAAGTAAACACAAATATTTTTAAAACATATGTTAAAATAATTAGAAAATTATATTTATTATTTAAAAATATCAAGAAAGCTTTTTATTAGAAAGGCTCTACTGGCGACGTCTTTAAAACCAATCATGTTTCATATTTAGTTAAATAAATTTCATAACAGCATTTTACTACGTCTTCTTCTGACGACTCAAAAATTTGAATAATTTTCTTGTACACAGATTTTAAATCTTCAGTTTTTTCATAGTTTACAGGTCTTAAAAGTTGGATGATAAGTACATAAAGTGCTGGTGATGTTCTATAGTTTATCATTGAATAAAACAAATTATGCCGATCTAATATATTCATTTTGTTCACCCATTTTTCGAAATTATCTTTGAAAATAGCAAAAATTTGCGGCCCAAATTCATTAAATAGTTGTTCCAAATAATTGACTACAGTTTCAGCGAATTCATCTAGAGGATGATTGGAATATTTAAGCAGAAGATTTAACGTTATGCATTCGTTTATTACATCTACCGTAGAAAAATATTTGTTCCAATTTTCGATAAAAATATTTATGAACTTGGAATCTGGTTTAGAGTCGTACATACAATCGATAAATATTTTACAAAAACCACTGATGATTGGTTTGTTTGATTTAGAGAGTGTTCCAAATACTGTAGTAAAATTATTTGGTCTCTCTGTACATCTATATTCCAAACACAACACAGCAAACTTATCAATATTTGTTAAACGATGTTCACCATGTTCGGATAAGTGGCGGTTAATGACATTTTTTACGAACAATGGAGAAATAGATTTTAAAACATCTTCCTCCAAACTTTGTTCTAACAATTTATCAAAATATTTGTTAACGTTTATTGTATCGTCATCAACGTTTTCAAATATTTTCCAACAAATTTCGATGTACCGAGCTCTATACGTTTTAGTAATTCTAATCCTAACTAAAGTTGAAAATATTTCTTTGTGGCTTTGATTAATCATAACCAGCAACTTTTCAATAAGCATAAACAACTCTTTAGTACTATTTTTTTTAAAATACTTCAAAGCAGCCAAACATAAATACTGATGAGGACTGCAATCTGAAGATTTTAGCAAATTGAACACATAATTATAATCGAGAAAATCGCAACTTAAAAATACGGCATGTTTTCGTACAGACATATCTCGTTTGGATAATATTTCGATATAAGGATGCAACTTATTCTCCGGTGATCTCGAAAACAAACTATACAACGAAGGTAAAGCATAAGACAAACGATTTCCTTTACAAAATTTCAACACCAATGGTAAATACTTTCTAGCAGTATCCCCTTTCTTTAACAAACCAGCAATATACTGCTGTATTTTTAAAAACTCATCTTTATCCTGACAATCATCTAAATGCCCATCAACAAACTCAATGAAGTGTTCTTCAGGTAATAAATTTTGAATGATCTTCATCGATATTACTTGATTATTATGATCCTTTTGTTTCCAATCTTTCAACAAATATTCGCAAATCTTTTTGTCCAATCCCAAATGCGAATAGTGCTTTATACATTTTTTATCGTAACACTTCATGAATTTGGAATGAAGCCTTTCGAAATGTTCCGCAAGAAATTTTGGATGTTGCATAATTAAGGCTTCTATTATACCGTAGGTCGTCCAACTTGATTCGAATTCCCGATTAAGATCATCTTGTTCTATGAAATTTTTCAATATGGCCCTTTCAGTTTGAGAAAAACGGTCTTTCTTTACAATGCTCTTGAGTACGTCTTTATACGCATCAACGCATTCTTTATCTATACAACTAAGAATATCAGTTATTTTTGTCTCGTTCAAAAATCCTAAAGAATATTGAGGGAAATTCAAGTGATATAATATCGCAAATTTGATGATACAATCATCATCGTAATCACGATCATTTTCATGTTTATTTATGGCTACTTCTATGCCAGATAACAAATAAGGAAACTGATGAATATTCAAACAATGTTCTGGACGGTACTGGCTTATTTCGTAAAATTCCTCTATAACGCTCCTCAGATTGGATCGGAAATTTCTATGATCCTCTGACAACAATTTGCATAGTTCGACAAACATATCGCGCTCCAAGTCCGCATTTGGCAAACTGGTTCTGAAATTACATGCATCCCATTGTGCGGTATCCAAGATGAAATCTTTAGCTACTGCTTTGAACATTTCTTTATCATTCTTGTACGAATAATGTAAAAGTTTATCGATGATATTTCGGTAATCGTAAATAGGAATTGTCCCTTTCAGACGTATTAAATTTGCTTGTTGTAGGATGAAATCCCAATGCTTTTTGGTCAATTCATCATTACTGAAGGTCTTACAAATAAATTCGATGATTTTTCTATGAGTACAATCATCCTCGTTATTGTGCCTTGACCCAACGTATTCCATAACTTCATCTAGCGCTTTCATATCTTTATTTTCTGCACAAGTGGTTATCAGAAGTAGCAACAAAGCTTTTCTATTTTCTTTATTCGAAGTGACGTTTATCTTTTGTTTTAAAATTGGTATCGAAATAGAAGTTGGTAAATACTGCAGAAATTTATCGTCATTGTTAATTTTATAATTGACTTCTGCCCAAGCGTTTACAATTTGTTTACCAGGATTCAGTAAGACTATTATGTTGGAATGGATCGTCTTGAAAAGTTTATCTATACTGTCTTGTGGAAAATTGACTTTATACACTTCGTAAAATGTTTGCCATCTTTTATTTTTGGGCAAATATTTGAGGATGTAATTTAGATTGGGGCATTTTCTGGTCAGCGTTGTGTAAAATGTAACGAAATCCGTTTTTAGTGTTGATACGAGAGCTCTAGTGTTTAATATTTTATAAAAATATTGAGGATCGTCGAGTATTTCCGATTTGGCGATATTTACGATTATAGTGCTGGCGGATTTCGATAATTTAATTTTACTTATTTTATTGCATTTTAAGAGTTGTAAAAAGAGTCCAGGATTTTCGTAAGCTAATAAATTTAATACACATTCCTCATCATACGGATTTTTGCGCAATCTGTAACTGTAATCGATATATATTTTAAAAAGATCTTCGTTTTTCTTAAATAAATGAATCACTTGGTTTGGGCGTAATAAAATTTCGTTCTGTTCGAGAATACTCTTGATTTTTGAGGTACTGCAAGCGTGTAATACATCCAAACCTATGTAGACACCATACCTAGTAAAGAAAAAAAAATCCTTCACTATCCAATACATAATGTGAGTTATGTTTGATGCTTTAAAATAAATGAGTGTGATTAATTTCTCAATGGGAACCAACATCAAAAACATGCTTCACAAAAGACACTTTGAAGGTCTAAAGCTCACTTATATCAATTTGACGTAAATCGCTTTACCTAAACATGAAAAAAAAAATGGATGAGAATAAAATTTTCCAATACCCCTTCCCAAACGAAAAGTTTATAATTACAATTAAAAAGCAGTATTCACGTCATACGATTATAGACCGTCAGATAGTGACTGATTTAGGTGCCCCATTTTCATCGATTTTGGGTAGAATGAAAGGAAATTTACGAGCGGTCCCTGGGTGTTTTTTGCTCTTTTTTCCACGCAAGCCATTTTCACTATATGATTAATTAATAGAACTAGGCTTCGAAAAATCAAAGGCTTTAATGTTGCAAGTGGCTAAAGGGTTGAAATAAGGGCGTAATCTTGTAAAGAAAAATTGATATTTTAACCGATTTTTCCACACAAGGCAATCGAGAGTATGAAAACATACATCGTAACTAGCCCGAAAAACATATTGGCTTGAGTGGCGCGAGTGGATAAGTCCATTTTAAGGTTAGAAAATTTAACAGATTTTTTTTTCGATTTTTCAGTTATTTTCCCATCAACGAAATTTTTTGCAATAAAAATTTATGAATTTAAGAGACCAGAAAAAAATGGCTTGAGTGCAGAGCGTGGTCTTCATATTTTGAGAACATAGGAAAGTTGCTGAAAAAATGTATGTAAATTGCCACAATTTTGCCACACAAGCCGTTTGACATATGCTTAGAAAAAGTGATTCTAAGACTATATAACAAAAGGCTTGAGTGTCGGACATGGCCATCATATTATTTATATCTTTATAATTTATTCAACAAAAAGTTGACAAGAAAATCTAGAAATTTCCACCATTTTCTCACGCAAGCCGTTTGTCATATGCTTAGAAAAAGTAATTCTAAAACGATATAACAAAAGGCTTGAGTATTGCACATGGAGCCTATTATTTATCTTAAAAAGAACTGACCAAAAAGTTTACAAATAAATATGCAAAGTTATTATTATTTATTGTTTGGTGATTATTCATAATATAGTTAATTTTAATATGAATTTAGTGCTGAATTAACAATATGTTTATTTTATAGAAAAATTTATATACTCTTTCAAAGGGCTATTAAATATAAACTTTAAAATACCTGTTAAGGGTCGATCTTTTAACCTCTGAGTAAAGTTACATGTAGATTTACTTGACAGATTAACAAACATTATTCTTATAGTTTAATCAGCAAGTAGTTACTTTCAACTTTACTCAGAGGTGAAAAGAATTGGCTCGATTAACAGATTCGTTACAAAGATATGTTGATCAATTTTTGAATTTTTATAAAATTAAAGTATGTATAAAAAAAATTCAACTACTAAACATGAAAAAGTAGATATCCTAGAATTTAATGATGACAATCAAGTACTCTATGGAATAGACACTTCGAAACCATTGTAAATTGCATTTATGTAAGATATTAAAGCAATCAAGAATGTCATGAGATAAATCTTTTAACAGATCAAAATGATTTTCTTGAAGTCGATTAGAAAATGTTGATGTTCCTATGATAGTATGTGACATTATTTCAAATTATACAAGCTATTAGAATAAATAATTATTGTGCGTTATTTTTTTGGTTAAAATTGAAGTTACAGGTTGTTGTGTTCATTACATTAGTTATTTTTCTTCAAATTAAATAATTTAAGTGAATTTTTACAATCATTTAAAAGGGCGTTAAGTTAATAAACATTTAAAAGGTATAAAATTAGTCGTTGAATAGTCCGGCCACGAGACAACTCTTCTAATAAAATTAATATAAAATAAATTTTAGAATCGATATTTAGATGATTTAGGGTGATATTTAGGTTTTGATATTTAGGTTTTTAGTTTTATTTTTTTATATGGCAAATTATAAATAATTCCAAGCATATGCCAAACGGCTTGTGTGAGAAAATGGTGGATATTTATAGATTTTCTTGTCAGCATTTTGTTAAATAAATTTTGTATAAATAATATAAAGACCATGTCCAACACTCAAGCCTTTTTATATATAGTCTTAGAATTACTTTTTCTAAGCATATGCCAGAAGGCTTGTGTGGGAAAATGGTGGAAATTTATAAACTTTTTTGTCAGTTTTTTGTTAAATAAATTATATATAATTAATATGATGACCATGTCCGACAGTCAAGCCTTTTGTTATATAGTGTTAGAATCACTTTTTCTAAGCATATGTCAAACGGCTAGCGTGGGAAAATGGTGGCATTTTAAATACAATTTTTCTGCAACTTTCCGACGCAAGCCTTCGTTTCGTCCACATCCGATACTCATGCCAATTTTATTATTACGTCTAACACATTAATAACATTCTATGGTTAAAAAGGCTTGCATGAAAAAATAACTCAAAAATAAAAAAAAAAATTGCGGTAATTTTCGTGCCATTCAAGCCAATATGTTTTTCGGGCTAGTGACGATGTATGTATTCATACTTTCGACGGGCTTGTGTGGAAAAATCAGTTAAAATATCGATTTTTCTTTACAAGATTATGCCCTTATGTCAACCCTTTAGCCACTTGTAACATTAAAGCCTTTGGTTTTCCAAAGCTTAGTTCTATTAATTAATCATATAGTGAAAACGGTTTGCGTGGAAAAATGAGCAAAAAACACCTTTTATTTCTGTTAAGGAAAATCGAATTTTCCATATGTTATCCCCAGGGGTCAGTCGTAAATTTCCTTTCATTCTACTCAAAATCGATGTACTTTTCAACCCTCTTCGAGGCTTGTATGCGAAAATGGGGCACCTAAATCAGTCACTATCTGACGGTCTATTAGGTATGAATATATAGAATGTTATATTTTAAAAATAAACCGTTATAATCTTTATTGAATTCTAGCTCCCTGACAAGTATTATTGGATGAAGTGATTTAAGTTAAATCGCTATAAAATGAGCCATATATTTTGCAATTTTCTTTTTTAGCTGTATATAATTTCCTAAATAAGCTTGTGTTCTCTGTAGCGCGATTTTGGGTACACCGGGTACACCTCGTATAAATAAGATGGTTCAATTAATGCTACCTCGTTAATTTCAAGTTCAACGCGTTGTCAAGTGACCTCTTTTTTTGTTTATTTTTAGAAGCAAGGAGGATATGATTTTGCTTGAGGACTTTTTTTTTAGAAATGTGTGTAGGGCTCCGCTTTTCAAAAAGATTCCGTCGTCAAAAAGGTTTGAGAACCACTGCTTTATAGCATAAATATAAAAAAAAATACCTTTATACTCATACTTTTTAATTTTGTTATCAAATAGTTTTGATCAACAGAATCAAATGCATTTTGAAGAAATACAATTAATTTTTAATTGTACATATGCCGGGTTATACAATAGGCAGTTAAAATGTAGACTTAATTTAAACTGTGAATCTTGTTGTACACTAGGGTGGGCCGTAAAACGGACTTTTTAGAATAATTTAAAATTTCGTTTTGGAATAGTGTCCAAAAGTTACCTAATGTTATCCCAACCAAAATGTTTATTAACAGTTTTTTGATTGCTATGCATCTTCTGCCCCCTACTGCAACTCAAAATTCCCAAAAAAATTTGAAAATCAAAATTTAGATAGACTAAAAGTTGCCTCTTGTTATTGAAACTAACATGTTTATTTACCATTTTTTTATTATCATGCGTCTTCTGTCCCCTACCAGAACCTACAGCTTATTAAAATAAGTAGATATTATTAAGTGATTGGTCGTACAGACACCGTTGGTAAGGCGATGAGGTGTAGACGATTGTTTTCGTGATTAACGTACCAGCAACGTGTTGTGTTATTGTGACCTTAATTAGTCAGTGTTGCATACGAAAAAGTACTTCAGAATAATCGAAATATGAGTTTCTTAAAAACCTTTCACACAAGACAAGACACCGAGTGTTCTTTGGTGGGATCACCAGCAGATTTAAAGAACAGTGTTCTTCCGACACAAGAAGATATTTTGAGGTGCTTCTTATAGGTAAGGTATAGCCTAAAACAACCTGACTGCCGAAAAGAGCCAACAGTTTCAGAAATTTCAAAGATACTTGTTGATAAGATTGTAAATTTATGGCAGAAAGCGTCAATCCCGATAGTAACACACAAACGCGTTTTGCAACTCGTCAAAATTCAACATGATAGATACGCAAAGCTTTTGTGGTACCCAAAGGTTAAAAGTAATGAAAACTATGTTTTAAAAGTAAAAAGTTAAAAAACTGAAAATAAAAAACTTTTCGATATTAGTGCCTGCAAATGCAAAAATCTTGAAGAATATCTCTGTAGCAAAAAAAGGCAAATAAATAAATAAATACATTTATGGTAATTTCTTTAGTGATATAATTTCCCATTTGTCGTTTGACATATTTTCTTATTTAATAGGCGATTTCTCTTACAGGTACCTATAAATGAGCGTCCCTTTCTCCTAGATCAGCGAAGTTCCAGAAAAATGGTTATGGAAGGTGTTGATGCAAAAGAAACAACCAAATTAATAAACAAAACTGGACGGTTGGAGAAAATGCAACAAAGGAAAGAATTACACAATAAGGTTTGCTCTGAAAATGATACAAAAGTGACGCTAGACATTAAGCCAAACATTTTTTCGAAACGAACAACTAATACACTAGTTTCCTCTAGTCATTACTTAGATACAACTTGTGAACAACCGTCTACTTCAAAAGAATTAGTAATTTTCAGAAATACAATTAAGCTTCCTACTCTCGCCAAAGTGTGTGACAGATACGGATTATCGGATAGATCTGCAGCAGCAGTAACTACAGCTGCCTTACAGGATGTTGGTATCGTAACAAAAGAAAGGTCAGTGCAAATAACAGATAAAAATAAGTTAAGAAGAGCCAGGGAACATTTAGGAACTAAAATTATTAATTTGGTAGACTGTGAACCTATTACTGCAATGTATTTTAAAGGTAGAAAAGATAAA